TTATAATAATAAATAAAGAATAAACATGAAAAACAAGAAATAAAGCACTTACCTAAATCTTCTGTTTTCTTGCTGTCGATTGATGACACTTAACTCTACTTTTTTATATACTAATGATAGTAATACACTAAACAATTTTTATTTAATTAAATAATGCACCAAAGAACATAGAATAATAACATGTAAAAAGTAGACAATTCCCCTAACTATCACAATTTTTCTGGTTTTCTAACTATGCGACAAGAACTGTTACAAAATCATCCAAGCTAGTCGTTATCTTTCCTGTGGGTATGAAGTTTGTACTAATAGTGAAGTTGACAGTTATCTGTTCAGAAAACATTATATAATACATCATTTGATAGATGAAAACCTTGGCTTTCTACTGGTTATAGATAATATAGAATTAAACATAAGAGAGAACTTTTAAGAAATCCTGAGAAAATGAGACAGGTGAGTGTGACAAGAGGGGTCTGATTTTCTATTTGATGGCTCTGTAACCAAACAAAATTGAAGGCTATAAAAAAGTATGGTTTGTCTGAGCAATGATGATTTTATAGAGAGTAATTTATGTTTAATTTCATACTTATTGGAAGGGTGGTGGATAAAATAGAGCAGAGGAAATGTGTCACACTAGGGGAAATTCAGGTTTTTTTTAAATATTGTCTTATAAAATTATGAACTTAAAACTTATATACTATTAAAATATGGATTATTAGTTAAGATTTCATGCTATACTAATTGGTATAACATAAAAAAGTATATTTATAAAATTTTGAGTGTAAGTCACTAAAACCTCATGTCATGAGCAGTAAAGGATGCCAGTAGTGATAGGGTTAACAAAAAAATTAGCATCTACTTTAGATGTTCAAACTGTATGTAGTTTGATGCCATGCATCATTAACCCTACTTTTTCTCATTGTGTTGGTTGTCTAAAAAAATAATTAAAATATGCATTTTATTGTGCAATATATATATATATATCAGGCAATAAAATAGAATGCCCTAAAACTACTGTAATTACTTAACTTTCTAACTAAGCTATAAATAAGTTGAAAAAATTCCACTGTTCAGGGCAGTGATTTTATTTACTCAACATACTTCAAGCTTTTCTTGTAGTTTTGGCACATTTATTGATATCTTAGCAAATTTTATTTTTTTCACTCAATGTGTGTAATTTGTGTTTTTAATTGGTTAGGCACTATAGAAGCTGTATTGTTGAAGTTATAAAATCTAAGTGGGAGAGAGATCTGAGTGTGGATGTGTCACATGAAACAGAATAGTGAAAGTTGAAAATTGTAATATACACTTTAGAAATTGAGAAGTTAAAACTTCAATAATATTAAGATTTGAATTATAAGTTATGTTTTAATGTCCTATTTATTGATGTACATGGATAATGAAATGCTTGCTGTGGCATTATAGAAGCCTCTTCATAACAGGGTAGTTGATATGAAAGACAAAAAAGAAAATCACATGAGTAACTAAAC